TAATTTCCATGTAGCCGCCATAGTGTAGCAGCTCGTACTCGCCTGAGAATCGGATTGGTTGAGGTCCTGTTATAGCCAGACGTGTTTTTTTAAAACAAATTTGGCTCCCCGGTCAACCCAGCCTCAAACGGGTACCATGTAAAGTCCTGGGAAGTAAAGGTGACCTGCATGATGCTGACCCATCACCACCAAGTACCCAGTGGTCAATAAAGTATAGGTTAGCCATGTATACCAAAGGTCATGGAAAAGAGTCCTCTACTTAACTTTTACTTTACTATAGTTTCCATGTAGTGTTGTTCTATTGTTTTTAGCTGTAGTCATAGAAGGAACTCACTTTTCTGATGGTTGCAGAGATGTTGTGCTGGATATTTTCATAGTCAGAATTCCATTGCTCATTGTCTGCACAGTCGAGGATAGCTACAGTGGATCTCCAATACTCAGTGTCTCTCACTTTTATTGTACACTTGGAAAGACTGCTGTTCATTAACTTCCTTATGTTATTTTCATATTTATATATATTGTCTCTATGTAGCCAGCCACTGGTGTATGATGAACCCATGCTATACTGGACCCTTTGGGAGCGGGTAAACAGTGTGGAAGCACACACAAATAGATCGTCACGATCTGAAGAAATTGGTGCAGTGAGGAGTCATCAGGGGATCTGGCCGATGATGAAGAATACTCAGAGGAAGGGTGAGACAGACAGAATATACCTGTACTGCTACCATCAGAATTTGAACTCTGTGCTTCCTGCTGAAGATAGGGATGGAGCACTTATGGGAATATCTTGAGTGCTGTGATGTTCGTTCTTAACTCATAACCTATGCAATAGTTAGTTGCTCATCCTTTACAGGACGTTGCAGAACCAACCCCAACAGCCCCTGGCTGTTGTGTGGTTTTTCTAGGCAAATTTACGTCCAGTAGTTTGCCATTGCTTTCTGGACGGTCGACTTTCTTGATACCACTGTCGAAATCAACGCAAGGCGCATAGCCCGCAGCTGGGATCGAACCCGGCATCCCGGCATTATGAAGCGTTCGCATCGACTTAGCCACAGAGCCGACAACCAATGCAATACTGGTTGAAAAATTATTACAGTGAAAATTGAACTGCTATGTTAGCAGGTGAATACATAACCACTATGCTTCCATTTTTGTTAAGCAGTAGCCAGAATATATAAATGGCTTTATGTATGTCATTTGAAATTAATCCTGGATGTCTTTTTCAAATGTCTAAAACATTAAGTGGCATGAGTATACTAAGAGCTAATATGGCACATTATTATTTATTATCTCTGATTATAAAAAAGCACATCTACACATGATTGTCCTTCATTTTATAGTGTTAACACTCTTCTGTGAGTTAGTTACATCATTAGTCTTGCGTAGGTTGGCTGCAATGCAGCATAAGTTTTTGACAGCATTAGAGTCATTAGCTGCACACTCTTGTGGACTTTAGTTGCAGGGAAAGGCTGTTTTGTTTGTATGTTAGTAACAAGAATGTTTCAGGGAAGAACTAAAATATGGAGTTTACCTGAAAAAGTAAGTTTTTGTTTCAGTTATTTTAACTAGTGTTTATTTTAGTAAACTGTAAATGGGTAATTTGTAAGGAATAGTAGAAAGGTCTTCAAATGAAAACCTTAAAAATATTTTACTAATTGTTTATTTTAGTAATTGTAAATGGGTAATTTGTGAGGAATAGTACGAAGGTCTTTAAATGAAAACCTAAAAGATATTTACTAATTGTTTATTTTAGTAACTGTAAATGGGTAATTTGTGAGGAATAGTACCAAGGTCTTCAAATGAAAACCTAAAAAATATTTTACTAATTGTTTATTTTAGTAACTGTAAATGGGTAATTTGTGAGGAATAGTACCAAGATTTTCAAATGAAAACCTTACAAATATGATAGAAATGACATTAACAATGCTGTTATCTTGTAACCTGCCAGTACTTTTGTTGAGGATGTCAAGAGTATTACATGACATCATGGGGCAGACAAACATTTGAAGCCCTTCATACGTAAAGTTTGTATTAATTGGTTCTCTGTAGAATTGTAAGATGGCCTGTTTACTTATTTTAAAAGTATAAATAGTTCCCTAGAAGATACTGCTTTTGGAGTATGAAGTATTAGGCATTCAGACATTCTAGGTAACATATGTAATGGAAGGATCATATCCCTTCTTTTTCATATTTCTCTCCCACATTCCTCAGAAAAATTCTGTAAATTATCTGATGCCCATTTTTATTCATCTGTCAGCAACAGAGTCTTAATGATCTAAACAAATTTTTGAAAGTCTGCGACGTCTTGGGATTCCTTTGCTTAACTGTTTACATTCTGATAGAGACATTAAATTAAAAAGTAAAGTACCCTCTTCCAAACTTTTAGACATAGTGGGGCGTATAGGCCTGGTAGTACATTTTGTAGACCATTTGGCACTTGATGAGTGAGTAATGTGGTCAGCCACCTTTACTTCCCAGGACATACCTGGTACCCTCTCAAGACTGGGTCACCTGGAGGCCAAAAACATTTTTTAAAAAGGTCTGGCTCCATCAGGATCTGAATCCACGACCTTCTGATCTGCAGGCCAGCGTCTAGCCGCTACACCACAGCTTTTCCCTGATAGCGACACATTGTGACACAAAAATTACATAAATAAAAGGAGAAGGAAATGTAGTTTCAACTCATTTTATATCTTCATTGTACTGCAATTTATTGACTTTCTATTTCTATGTACACTTGTTTCAGTCGTTTTGTACATTTCCTGTTTATATGGGAATCACAATGAAAATTTTTTATATATATTGTGTGTGTGTGTGTGTGTGTGTGTGTTTCTCACATAATTGTTAGAGGAGCAGCTGGCTGAACAGTTAGAATGCTGACTGTCATGTGAGAGACCTGGGTTTGATTCTTGAAAAGGTGATTGAGGCTTTTCTGTTCAGGGCAAAAATATGCAGTCTGACCTGCACAGTTAATGACTGCACTAGCCTGTGACCCTAAATTGTCAGGCCCAAGAACCCGTGTCCTACACCGCCCTACAAATGGTACATGCAGGCAATAACCACAGTTTTTCAGTTTACACAGTTGTTAGCTAAATGAGCACTTTTTATTTGCAGTATCAAATATGCCGGAGAAAATTGGAAAGCAAGTGTGAAGCCCTCTTGATTTTGAGCAGAGAGCTGGATCAGTGCCGCAGTGAACGAGATCAGTTCAAGTTGATGGCAGAACAGTTGAGAGATCGATATCAGATGGTTAAAAGGCAACTCACAGGAGATGTAAGCAGCTTGTGTCATTATTATATGAATCTGCTTGCTTCATGATAAATTATTTCATAATACTCCTGTGATTTTCTAGATGATTTGAAATCTTTACTCTAAAAAGGAATACTTATGGAGAAAAATGAACATGGTAGATATTAGTTGAGAAAAGTTGCATTGAAAAAAAAAACATAAGTTGAAGAATTTGCCACACATAATTAAATTGTCAATAAATTTTAACGCTTAGTGAGATAAGACTCAGAAAATTTGTTTTTTTGGAATAGTGTTCCATTTATGTTCCTAATCAATCAGTCATTGAATGTTAAGCTGAGTTGAGTAAGAATGTAAATCACAACACTTTGGACATTCACATAAGCACTGTATCGCTGTCTCAGTCATTGAATTACTTATGCAGTAGCTTAATCATGTTCCCTTTGAATCATTTGTTGAAATTTCTAATGTCGTGATATGTACCAGGATTATGGTAGAAAACCCCTTCATGACAGTTCGTGCCCCTGTGACATAATTTGTGTGTACAGATGGCTATATGTTGAGAGGCAAAAGAGGCACCTGGGGAATTCATAGCAAAAGTTAGTGCAGCAAGTCTAGTACATGATACCACAACATCCACTTTAAGAATACAAGTCCTCATCTAGGTTCCCGGGCCCTATTTAGAGGGGGATGGGGAAGACAGACCCCACTGCCTTCCTAACAAGCATGTCATAGAAAGTGACTAATTAAGAATGTTTCCTTTTTAAGTCCGAGTAAATCTACCTGAGAAGTGAGAAACCAGCAGTCTGCACTTAAATAAGCCAGTTCTGAAAAAAATGGATGTGCACTTAAAACTCAAATTTTCAGACAAGACTAAGTCCAGAAGTGGAGGAAAAGCCATAACTTTTCGCTAGTGTTTACAGCTGGTGAATGCTGAGAAAAGAATAAAAGTGGAGGTAGTTACTGTTGCTTCCCGCTGGCTTAAAAAGCAGCTGCACACACATATTGTGATTGTAACAGACTCATAAAGCATGCTGAGAAAGAATGATACAGGTATGATTTGTGCAGAGTGGTAAGCATTGATTCAGAAGTTGCAGACAGTGTGCACCCTATTCATATTTTCTGCAGGGCATGCTGGTTTCCTGGGAAACATACGGACAGACTGGCTTGTTCTGCACCAGTTAGTGGTGAACTGATTCATGATAAGACATACTTTGAAGGCCTTTTGTGAGCAAGTGAAGACAGTAAAAGAGGGAATAGATCATCATGGTCTAGAAACAGTGGTGCAGAGTGGAGTGACCACGGAATCTGGCTTTTACTAAGCGCTCAGAGGAAAGGCAAGATGGACATTCAGTCAGATTGCCAATGGCCTTGACAGTATTGGAACTCTTTCCTGGCTGCTAACAGTGGTGACAGAGTGCTTATGGGAATGTCCCATATTCTGTGTTGTCAGTTTTTAAACTCAACACAACTTATCAGTTAGTAGTAGAAACCTATATTAAATAATAATATGGTCTGTGGTGATTATTCAATGAATAATTCTACATATTTTGAAATTCCTAAGTCTTCTAAGTTTACTAGCAGAAATTGAAAGACATTTTCGTGTGTAAATATATTTATATAATGTTTTAGAGGGGGGAAAAACGGTTCCTAATTTTTATTCAGTGAAACATTGTAGGATTTAACATAGATTTCATATTATTATTATTGTGTCACTTCCGATAATTGAGCTGAAATTTTGATTGTGCTTTCAGACTCCCATGTCTTCACCACTAGTAGAAATTGACCCCAAGACATATTCAGACATACAAACACAGGTTAGTCAGCACAGTTTTGTTTGCTTTTCAATCATACATGTCACCCCTGCCTTATTTATTCTTGGACACCATTTTAGGGGCAAAAGAAAATACTCAGGTCGCTAACAAACATGTCATCAAAGGCTACTAATTAAGAATTTGCTGAAATCAGGGGTGTTACAAAAGACACAAATATTAATGCCTAGTGGAAACCACGGTACCATGCCTACTGTCTTTTAAAGGGAGGTTGCAGTAGAGGAAATAAGATTTCATCATTTGTTCCAGAAATATTTTCAGTGCTTGTATATTTTATTTCATGACATTCCTTGTTTGTGGTTTGATCCTGTTAATGATCCATACTGCTCACAGATAGCCTGAGATTGTTTGATCCTGTTAATGATCTATACTGCTCACAGTTAGCCTGAGATGGTTCGGTCCTGTTAATGATCCATACTGCTCACAGCTAGCTTGAGATAGTTCAATCCTATTAATGATCCATACTGCTCACAGCTAGCGTGAGATTGTCTGATTCCATTAATGATCCTTACCTGTCTCATAGCGAGCGTGCGCAAGAACTAAGGCTGTCACCACTACAGCAACCTACCACACATTTCAATATCATCATTTACTAATGAAGATTAGTCGAGGTAGTGGACTTTGTTCATTGTAATTGGCTCTGTAACGTTGACATATACCTCATGTTTTTTATTAATTCACTTAGTTCATTTGAAGCATCTTCTGTTTTCAGAGTCTTGCTCGTTTATTGTTTGATACAAAGGAAGCAAATAAGTCTCTAAAGTTTGAAGTTGATGATCTCAAACAAAAGCTGCATGATGCAGGAGGTGATATCAAGGTAAGAAATGTTTGTTTCAGGAGTTCCACTCTGAACTGTGACATACATTTTAGAATAGTGAATAACAACAATGAAACAGAATGTACAATTAGAAGTAGATTAGAAACCTCCTTGCTTTATTTAAGAACAGCAGTTAGAAATACTTTGAAGAAAACACAAGTAATTATATTTAGAATATGATTTATGCATGTAAACTCTATGTCTAACTGTATCAAATACTCACATGTGGATATATACAATATTAAATTATGGTAAAGCAGGAATGTGATCAATGCTGAACTCTCCAAGCATAGTTCTAACCCTCAGCCAGTGACAACCTATCAATCTCCAAGCAACATCCAAGTTTATAATTGAAACTTTTGAGAAATAGTGCTTTAAAAAATGATGTTATTTGTAATAATGCTGTCATAACACTTTTATGGAAGTGTAACAGTTTTTAATTTCATTATTTCAAAATAGAGTTTGTATATATTTTCGTTCAGGCCATATTTAATGTGGGTTGAGAGTCATTGTAACAGAAAAAATGGTAATTACAAAGAAAACTGACCATCCCGAATGAAACAACAAAGTAAATGGGACAAACCTCAAGCAAGTTGATATGTTTAAGTACTTTAATACCCTGATAAAATTGAATGCATGATGTATTACAGAAAAATGTTGAATAACTCAAGAAAAGGAAGCATTTTACAAAATTAAGAATATTTTATGCAATCTTTCTTTGTCATTTGAGACGAAAAGGAGAATTTTTAAAAGCTATATAAATCCTAACTTGATATATGGAAGGGAATCATGGACAGTTGGTAGATTTGTAAACAATTATTTGGAAGCTGTGTAGATGTGGTTTTGTAGATGAGTGATGAGAATACCCTGGACAGATAAAAAGAGTAATGAAGATGTCTTGAAAGAAACTGACTCACACAAGAAAGAGACAATACTATCAGAGAATGATACTCTTTGTACCACCACCATATCATGATACATATAACCATCAACCAGGTAATACCAGGCCCTGCAATATTTGTGAAATTAGAACTCTGTTCTATGTTAAACCATTGAGCCGTTGTTTTTTTTATTACTGGCACATCATAAATCAAGTAAACTATCTCATTTAGAAAGGGCCTTTAAAAAAAAAAACTTTTATATATTTTAATTTATAAAATAAAATTGTTCCCCATATTATATTTTATGAACTCTTTGCATTTCTGCACAGGGACTCTTGTGGTGATAGTAAGTTTCATCATGATTATGTTGAAGCAAAATTCATCTCTGTCCCAGCATGGGACACCAATTTTGGTTGTTATAAAGCCCCACTGCAGCAGTCATTGGAGACCCTAATATAACTTAATGATTGAACAGGGTTTCTGGGACTCATACCCAGGTGATTCTCATCTGAATGGTGGCCCTTTGTGTCATCCAATGTTTATTACTCGGTGTGCGATCCTGGGGGGTGTTGAACATTAATCAATCAGTCATCATGTCTCTTCCAACATTGACTGATTATCTTGTTTTTAACTGATTCCACTACTTCTGCCAGAGTTTAGAGCTGGTAAACTCTAAGAGGAGGAGTAGATCGTGTCAGTTATTTCATAATGAATGCATATTTTGTTGAAGTTGAAAATCCTTATACAAACATGTTCAAGAATGATTTAATTGTGAGTTTATGTATCACTGTGTTTAGTTGCTGCGAGAGCAGATTGTCAGATCAAGAGTGGGTACGACTGATGAAGGGATGAACACTCGTCACTTTCCTGCACATGAACGAGAGCACCTAGTGAAACAGCTTGAAGTCAGTAGGGAGGAGGTGAGAGCTTTGCCACATTCAAGTCAATTTGGAGTTGTTATAATACCAGCAGTGTTGACTGTGCCATACAATAGTCTATATAAATAGATCATTTTTTTTTCCGGATAATAGTAGGTAGGTAGTTGTACCCCACCAGGACATCACACAAGCGATAAACACCTGGTGACACAAAGTGCCACCATGCGGATGAGGATCACCCCTGGAGAGGTCCCAGAATCCCCTTTCAGCCATTAGGCCATATCTATGGATAGGTCATATTTATGGTACAGCTATATTCAGGGCCCAAGGCAAAAGCCAGGGTGGGGCTTCAAAATAACAAAAAAATTGCATCCCACAAGGGGACAACTTAGTGTTATTTCAAATAATATACTTTTTTTGTTTTTCTTACTGCATTTGGTGATGTCTTATTGTATTGGCAGAAATTTGGAATGTGAGGTTGTGTTATAATGTGTTTGGCAGCGAGTTTTGGATATAAAGTGGGTGTTCTAACATGTTTGGCTGATAATTTGAGATGTGAGATTGGTGTTGTAATGTTTGGAAGAAATTTTAGGATATGTGGTAATAAATCTAACATAACTTTTCAGATTGGGGTTTTTGTTGTATTGATTTTGTCATCAAACTGGAATTGGCAGTGTGCATATAATCACATATATTAACTTTAGCTTTCACTAGTGCCTACCCTCTTATACTCTTTCCCTGTCATTTTTTTTCTTAATGTTTATGGATAGCCACTGTAGAAATATACTTTTCTTTATTACACTGATAGGATCTCTGTGCAAATTTTCTTGTGCATAAACTTGTTCTGTTTGTGTTCTGTTATGATCTTGAACAATCTGTGCTTTGTCTCCACAGTTTGTTCAGCTTGAGAGGGATCTACAACAAGTGCTAGATGAAAAAGAGGAGCTGGTTACAGAAAGGGATGCCTATCGCACCAAATATGAGCGCCTGAATACAGAGCTGAACTACATTCTTGGTGGAGATGAAAAGAGGATTGTTGATATTGATGCTCTCAGCATGGAAAACAAGTCGGTCATTTGTTTTTATTCTGTTAATGTCTTTTTAACAATAAAGAATTTTTAAATCTGTGTTTTTATTAAAAGGGTATAGTGAATTCATAGAGTGTACTGCCAGTTGTATGTGCAGTGTAAAGCTGTCACATATTGTAGGTCTCAACATTTAATGAGTGTTCATTTGAAACCTGTTCCAATGACTTTATTACAAAAGTATGAAAGAAACATCAGTAAGTGCGGCAGAATTTAACAAAGCATTCATTTTGAATTAATTATGCATCTTGGCCATCCTTTTACCTGCCTTGAGGCATAGTGGGCATACAGTAAGTAAAGTAAACCATCCTTTCCCCTGCCTTGAGTCATACTGGTTGTATAGTAAGTAAAGTAAACCATCCTTTTCCCTGCTTTGAGGCATAATGGCTAAATAGTAAGTAAAGTAAACCATCCTTTCCCCTGCCTTGAAGCATACTGTGTGTATAGTAAGTAAAGTAAACCATCCCTTCCCCTGCCTTGAAGCATACTGGGTGTATAGTAAGTAAAGTAAACCATCCCTTCCCCTGCCTTGAAGCATACTGGGTGTATAGTAAGTAAAGTAAACCATCCCTTCCCCTGCCTTGAAGCATACTGGGTGTATAGTAAGTAAAGTAAACCATCCCTTCCCCTGCCTTGAAGCATACTGGGTGTATAGTAAGTAAAGTAAACCATCCTTTCCCCTGCCTTGAAGCATACTGGGTGTATAGTAAGTAAAGTAAATCATCCTTTCCCCTGCCTTGAGGCATACTGGGTGTATAGTAAGTAAAGTAAATCATCCTTTCCCGTACTTTGAGACATACTGGGTATATAGTAAGTAAAGTTCCCTTCCCATGCCTTGGGACGGAGTAGGTATTTAGATATTGCTCTCTTATAGCCCATGCCATGTGGCATTGGTAGTCATGTTTATCGACTAGCTCCTGTAATGTGTACTTGCAGTCAGTTCAGGCACAGATGATTTTCCCTGCCATGATGTCAGACTGTTCAGCTCTTCTCTCTTTGTCTCCCTCTGCCACTCCTCCCTTCCAGTGTTCCCACCATCATGATGTACTCTAGTTTTCTCCTTCTCATGACTTGACCAGAGTATGTAGATTGTCTCCTGATGTGGGCAGTCAGTTCTCTTCATGAGTCAGTTTCTTTCAAAATGTCTTCATTATATATTTTTTCAAATCTGTCCAGGGTATTCTCATTAACCAACAATAAACCACATCACTGCCACTTCCAGATAATTTTTCACTAATCATCCAAATCTCCATGATTCACATCCATATACCAGGATAGGATTTATTTTAGCTCTTGTGAAGGATCTTTTTTTTATCTCAATTGACAAAGAAAGATTGCATAGAATGTTCTTCATATATAAATATAGCCCTATATTTTTGTGTACCACTCAAGTGATGTGATTAATATCACACTTACTACTTTTACTGAGCCCAGGTCAGTTTTGTTTTTTCTACCCTGTCTCAGAGCTTCAAATACAAAACCACTGGGCCAGCTAGCAGGAGTATTAGCCAACCGTGATTTTGTATATACTAGTACTTGTACAAATGACATAGTACTTTATTTTTGTAATAAGACAAGCAAGAAATGTAGGCGTATGTGTGGAATTTTACTTTTTTACTTCCTTCTGTAGATATCTGCAAGAAAGATTAAAGCAAATGGAAGAAGAAAAGACAATGGCAATGGCCACTGTTACAAAGTATAAAGTAAGCTCTCATTCTGTATTTCATTATTTCCCAAATTATATATATATATATATATATATATATATATATATATATATATATATATATATATATATATATATATATATATATATATATATATATATATATATATATATATATACATACATACATACATATGTGTGTGTGTGTGTGAGCGCGTCCGTTTGTGCCCATGTGTGGGTGTTTTTATTGTTGTTTAAAAAAATAGTTAATGAGACCTCTTTGGGAATTTATTATAATACCTAATGTTTAGTCAATTTCATTTCTTCTTTTTTTTTCTTCTTCTTCTTCTTTTTCTTCTTCTTCTTCTTCTTCTTCTTCTTCTTCTTCTTCTTCTTCTTCTTCTTCTTCTTCTTCTTCTTCTTCTTGTTTGCATTCATTTATTGGAAACTCCGGCAGAAAGTTCTGGTTGTTTGTCCACCTGTAATCTTATTCCAGATATGGCTTTTTTTTTCTGTAAACAGGCTATTAGTTCCTTGACTCTCTGACAGACACACTGCGACTTTGAAGGAGACACCCCTAATTAGTCTACTTTTATGGCATGCTTGTTTAGGAAAGAAGTGGGTTTGTTCTCTTCCACCCCACCCGCTTTCCAAAATGGGGCCCAGAATCCACACAAGGATCGGTTTCATTGAATTGATGGAAATGACTGATGGTACTTGCATAACTTCAGGTTGGATGAAAAGTTGGCACATCTGGTAGCTGCCCTGTACATTTACTTTGCATGTTGAGCCACATGATTTCCCTGAGACTGATATGTTTTTTTTTCACTAGTTTTCAAATGGGACAGTGAAGACATTTTGTGCGATTTCTACTGGCACAAGGAGGGAGCAGTTATGGGGTAACTCATTTATACTGAAGTTGGAACCTTGAATAATGACTAACAATTATGAAAAGTGTTCCCTTTTGCAGTATTGAATTGTTCTTTACCTTCCTTATTAATATCTATTTCCTTTCAGCAGTAGTTACTAGGTGTCTTGCAAAGGCTCTACAAACTATATACTTTAAAGATCGCATGGGAATAAAAGAAATACGTCATGATAACAGGATAGCTGGATGGAAAAAACAGGAAGTACTAGAAAGAAGGTTTAGACATTTTGACACAATGGCAAGGAGAACTATTTGTATCTGAAAGTAATTACATTATGTAAGACACAAAGTAATGAACTTATGTGAAAGCCAGTGGCATGTGGCTTATTTAAAAAAAAAAAAAACATTATTTTCAGAAAAATCTTGCCACTCACTGTTGAGCATTTTCTGTTAATATTCACAGTATTAATATATTGTGCTTTTTATTTTAAAAATATTTTGTATTTTACATTGTTCATTTTCAGTATACTGTAACCCTGTCCCTGTTCATAACAATTTTATATTGTGCTGTTAATTTTAAATATATTTTATTTTTTAGGTTGTTGATTTTCAGTATATTGTAACCCTGTCCCTGTTCCTTTTGAATATATTGTATATTTTACTTTGTTCATTTTCAGTATATTGTAGCGCTGTCCCTGTTACTTTTGAATATATTGTATATTTTACTTTGTTCATTTTCAGTATATTGTAACGCTGTCCCTGGTACTTTTGAATATATTGTATATTTTACTTTGTTCATTTTCAGTATATTGTAACGCTGTCCCTGGTACTTTTAAATATATTGTATATTTTACTTTGTACATTTTCAGTATATTGTAAAATTGTCCCTGTTACTTTTGAATATATTGTATATTTTACTTTGTTCATTTTCAGTAAATTGTAACGTTGTCCCTGTTACTTTTGAATATATTTTATAATTTACTTTGTTCATTTTCATATATTGTAACCTTGTCCCTGTTCATTTTAATTTTATACTGTGCTGTTCATTTTCACAGAGCATCTTAGAGAAAAAGAAAACCAAGGGGATCCTCAAGCTGGGACAGAGTCGGAGTGGTGGTTTGGTTATCACACAGAAACAGGGTAAAGGACCTTTAGACTTGTTTATCTATTAGCACAGAAGCACAGTAGATAGCACACCTGACAACCAGCCTTAGGGTTCTATATTTGAATCCCCAGGAGGCAGATTTTAAAAACTGATCTGGACTTCCAGGTGAATTTGTCCAAAAATTGTTAATATGGAATATTCTTGGAAGTAAAGACAGATAGTAACCACTCTCCTATCTAGTGAAGATTGATCTTTCAAAATTTAGAGCTAGCATCACATACCCAATGTGCCTCAAGGTGTAGAAACAGTTCTTTAACTTTACTTACCTTTTAACACTGTGTACAGGGCTTTTTTGTGTTTCTTGCAGTATGCAGTACCAGCACCTTTTTTTTTTTTAAGGCATCCTTTTTTTTCTGAGCTATTGAAATAGACACTTTATGGTGAGCATTGTCACATTTTTTATACACTTTGGGGTGAACATCATCAGAAGTGGTTTATGATGATGATGATGATCCTCACCTTTGTCTTGTAGGCTTTGTTGTGAGCATCGTCATTTTTTTTTGGGTGACTTTTTGTGGTGAGCATTGTCACCCTTTTTTTTAAGACACTTTGTGGTGAACATGGTTACCTTTTTTTAAAAGACACTTTGTGGTGACCTTCGCCACCTTTTTGTCAGACACTTTGTGGTGACCATCGCCACCTTTTTTCTTTAGACACTTTGTAGTGACCATCACCACCTTTTTTCAGACACTTTGTGGTGACCATCGTCATCTTTTTTACACTTTGTGGTAAGCATCATTATCTTTTTTAAACACTTTGTGGTGAGCATTGTCACACAGAAGAAACACACTCCAAACACAGATATAAGAAATGTTTACTTTGTTTTGTCTGCATACTTTGAAATGAAAGGTTGAAATAGCTGCAGACTTTCCAGAATAAACACTGCAAATTAACAGTAGAAATGGGATAAGAACAACAACATGTATTTGCATTTATTAAGCAACAGTAAATAAACTGATTAGGACATTGTATATACAAAGTATATATGGATTTAGAGCCAGAAGCAGCTTAAGAGAATGATGGTTAAACAACCTAAAAATATGAGTACAACGCATCCAAAGCAACACATATGACCTTGCAACATAAGCCTAGGCTTTCCCTATCTCCATTTAATGGCAGATGTGGATTAGGAAAAAAGAGATCATTCACCTGGTGCTAGACAATAGGTCAGTACGAATATGTGATTCACCCTTCTGCTGGAACCAGCGAGCTTATTTTATTATTGTGTTTTTCTAATTTGTTTATACAGTTCAACAAATAATGCAAAGCCGGTCTTCCATAACTCCAACACCCCAAGCCCTTGCTGATCTCCAGGGACTGTGTGGGGCATTGCTGGATACAATCAGTGATAAAAATCTGGCATTGTCTCATCAGAGAAAGACTAACAAGTTAGTGCTTAGCTGTCTGCATGTGCCATGAAATATATTCATGTTCGTTATCATCATCATCATGTTGTGTCTTTATACATCACATAGGGCTGGCAGTTTGTTCTTCTATTTAATTTTGTCCTGTGCAGTTGTTTCACTATCATGGATTTAATCTAGTTTGGCACCTTTTACTTCTCTCATCAACTTTTATTTTAGGGTTCCTTTTGGACATTCTCATTTCCTCTATTCATTTGTTTCCATTTAATTGACTGTTTGGTTATTCTCTGTTTGCTTCTACTCAATATTTGCCGGATAAATTGCGATATTTGCCTGACATCTTTTCATTAAAGATAGGGACATTTTTTTTATCTTTGAGCATGTTAGTGTTTGATGTTTGTGCTTATGATGTGTAATTAATCTCTTGCATAGATTTGACCAATCCGCATTGTGTCGGATTTTGTTAAAATGGCCTTAGCTTCCAGGTCAGCCTAGCTTAAAATCGGCACCAGTTAAAATCCAAGGAAGTAAAGGTGGCTGGTGTGATGTTGACCACGTTATCCATCGAGTGTGATTTGAGTCTAGCATCATATGCCTGATGCGCCACTGGCATGAAAAAGGTCCTTTACTTTACTTACAGATTTCATGCACACAGATATTATACCTTTGAATAAATTTTACTGTCTTGTTTTGTTATAATTATATTCTACATGATTTGTTGCTAAAGTGGTTGCATTCCTGGTGTCTTATTTAAATTTGTTCACTTATAGCTCAGAAGATACCCAAACTCCTTCCCACCAGTTGTTTTCATTTTGTTTGATAAATATTTTGGTATAAAGAATAAAACATGTATTTATTTGGCTCTCCTTCGAACTTCGTCCCCATATTACGGTGGCCAAACAAATACCCTAACAGGACCTCAGTCGTGTGTAAAATGTGGAGTGCCTGCTGAGGAACAAATCATGGCAAAACTATTATTGCCTTAGAATAATGGGCCAACAGTATTGAGGGCAAACAAATGCTCAAACAGTGTCTCAGCGATATGTTGATTGCGGACCTGTTTCTGCAACTATGCCTCACCGCCGACAGTATCCCCTGCCCCGCTACGTGCAGCACGGATGAGTGGGCTAAACTAGATGGCTGGGACTCACAAACAAATTGGAGGAAGTTGCAGGAGATGCGGTAGCTGCTGCTCGTGAGTTCCAGCCATCTAGTTTATCCCCCCATCCGCGCCGTTACGCATGGTGCGGGGGATCCCTCGCGGTGAGTTTAATCGGAAGAACACTATTGCTAACCTGCGTTGGAGCACGTGGTCTCCCCAGCCATATCGCTATTATCATGTGTATTGATGCGTTTCTCGAAATTGTCAACTAACAGTAATCCCAGTTTTGCCGCAATGTGTTCGTCAGAGGAAGTCCGCATTTTAAACACGACTGAATCCTGTTAGGGTATTTGTTTGGCTGCCATATGGGGTTGAAGTTTGAAGGAGAGCCATTTATTTTTATTTTTTATTTTAAACATTATGTTGACATTAATGATTTTTATACAAACAGTTTCTCAAAAATGCTGACAATTCCTTGAACTTGAAAAATAATTAATCCAGATATTTTGGAAGAAGTGAGGGCCTGAAGACAGCTTATTACTAGGGCTGTACCGAATATTTGCTTCGTATTCGCTTCGGGGCCGAATAGTGGACCTAATAACTATTCGGTATTCGGCCGAAAAGTTGCGGTTGGGCCGAATACGAATAGTGGTTACCTTACACCCGTTTCTGGACTGGTAGAAAATGAACATATCACGATTTTCCACCTTTTTTCATACTGTCAAGCGTTACTTTGTGCACCACCTACGAGCGTAGGTAAACGTCTGTTTAGCACAGCTGGAAATACCTTCAGTGAGACAAGAAGCTGCCTTAATGCTGACAACATGGAACGATTGTGTGTGTGTTTTTTTGTGAAAGCTAATTCTTTCATGCTTGCTACATACATCCAGTTTTAACATATGGCTGTGAGTCCTGGACAATCAGTAGGCCGACCAAACAATTTCTTGAGGCATCAGAGATGTGGTTTTACAGAACAATGCTTAAATCACCTTGGACAGCCCAAAACAAAGCAACCAAGAGGTTTTGAAAGAGGCGGGAGCTCGAAAACAACTACTCACAGACATCAGAAGGAGACAGTCATCATTTTTCGGCCATGTTATAAGATGAGGAAAAATGGAACATGTGGTGACCACTGGAAAGATATGTGGAAGGAGGGATAGAGGAAGACAGCGAGAGAAGATTCTTGACAATCTTGTTGCATGGCATGGAGGTGTGTCAGCACACGAACTAATACATGCTGCAGGAGATCGCAGATTGTGGCAAGGCATAATAGCCCATGCTAGTCGGCAAAGCACCTGATGATGATGATTCACTATTCGTATTCGGCCGAATAGTTGGTCCAGCTATTCGTATTTGGCCGAGAGTGTTGGAAGAGAGGATTATAGTTATGTGGTTTCACTATGAGAAGAAAGAAACTGGAGCATGTTGTAATGTAGGGGCAGGGCTAAGGAGGCTGGTCCTTGTTAACTGCATAATTATAATTATTTTTGTAATGTGCTGAATGGCAGATAACTAGAATAATTTTTTTGAAATGATATGAAATGAACAAATGCTTAAAAAGAAACTGTCTATACATGGTTAAAACCACTTTTCTAATAGATAATTGTTGAACAAGCAGTGACTGACAAAGTGGCTTGAAAGTAAGGTTCTCATGCAGAAACCCAGGCTTAAACCCTCAGTAAGGGGATGGAAGCTTTTTGTGTTTGGGAGGGGGTATTTGGAGAATTGATACTTACATCCTACGCGCAGACTGGCAGATCAGGAGCATATCCTGGATTTTCAGCCCAGGAAATTCAAGTGTGCATGGTAATAACCACACTGATGGATTGGCTGCTGCCACTCTTCTCTGTGATGGGCTACTTTATGATAAAGTGAACATGGTGAAAACTCTCTGGGATCAAATGGACTACAATAAAACAGACAGAGAATCTATATATTGAAAGACTGGTTCAATGGGGCAGTGAGTGGAGGTTCTGGAAGATATTCAGCACTCAGAGGGAACATAGTTAGACTTTTAATCAGGTTGCAACTGGTACTGTTAGCATGTCGACTCTTGGTTGGCTACAGTGGAAAGAGACGAGGCATGTATGGAAATGTCCTGTGTGCAGTCATGTCACTTCTCAATTCATTGATTATGACAGGGTCAGAAATTAACATCATAACCTGCACAGTTTGTTTTGACTGCCCTGGTCATGTGACCCTATATCCTTAGGCTCAAGTGCCCCCTCCACCCCCCCCCCTTTTCACACCCCATTATTTTTTCCTCCTGACTGACACTGCCCTAAAAAGTTATAAACACAGACAGTAAGGATATTTTTACAGTTAAACATTGCTTTAGGTTTGTCAGGGTAACATTTTTACTAATTTGTTTCTCTCCAGACTTTTGGGAAGCCGTGTGAGTGAACTAGAGAAAAAGTTGAAAACCCTGGAAATGTCTGGATTGTGGAGTGTCTCAGGTATACTTCATGCATAATATTTTAGGATAAAGGGCCATTGGATTAGTACCTGTACTGCCCTAAGGTTTAATAACACTGTATATATAAATATGCATGAATAATATAACTCTTCTTTTTCTGCGTTTGGCCTTAAAAGGGTCACTGGCTAGGCTGGAATATTTGCACCTGTCAACCCAACACTTTTTTCATTTTGATGATTCCATAATTATCACCTTTTACGACATGCTGTTATAGAGCAGTGGGTCTATTCGCTTTTGTTTTAGTTTTCCCTCAAAATAGGGCCCCAGAACCCACATGGTGTTGATACAATTCTAAATTGTATCTGCTTGGTTAGCTGTAACGCTTCATCAAATGTTTAATTTCTGGGTATTGGGTTAAAGTCTGTTGACAGCGAAATATTTTAACCTATTGAGTAAACTATACCTATATATATATCCAGTACCGGGAAACTTGTATGCGGTGTGCTGAATCAAAACCTGGTTGCATGTTAATATGCCTCTCTGCAGAAATGAAGTTTTAGTACTGCCTTGCGCCTTGCTTGTTTCTGAGGTTTGAAAGGGAAAGGAGAACTCTGCTACACAGATACTGTGGAGATATTATTTGTATTGGGTGAATATTTGGGGTGGGGGGGGGGGCATGGGGAAGTGTTGGGAAATAAACAGGCTAGCTGGTTCTACACCAGTGAGTGGTGAAATTATGCATGGCATGCTTGATGTGATCAAGATCCTTTTGGAGCAAATGAACAGTGCAGAGGCACGAATAGATCATTATGGCCTGGAGAGAATGGTACAGCTGGGAGTGACCGGGGGATCTGGTTGACACTCTACACTCGGAGGAAAGGCAAAACAGACATGCAATCAAACTGCTACTGGCACCATTGGCATTGGAACTCTTCATTGGCTGCTAAAGATGATGATGGAACACTTATGGGAATGTCTCAAGTGCTGTGATGTCTTGTTCCTTAGATCAAAACTTAACCAGATTGGGTGAAAAGTATTTACACAGCAAATAATGGAAGAAGATTAAAGTCCAGATGTGGAGAAACAACCAGGACTTTTGAGTGGAATTCAGTTCTTAAGTACCGCCAACAAACGCAAAAAAGTAGAGGAAGATACCAACCTCACACTAGCTAATGCAAAAACTCAGGGCTCAGGTGTCGTGAATGGATCTAAGAGTTTAAAAACTCAGTCTTCTGGAGGATAACTAGATAGCCAGCCATGCCACATGTTCACTTGAATTATTTTATTGTTACGTCAGTGTGTCGTGAGTGCATTGATGATGACTGTAGTTTAATAAATGGATCAGTCAGGATTATCATTCAGTCACACTTTTTTTTTTCTTTTTAACAAAGTCTATACAGTGGAATCTCAGGTTATTAATCAGGAAATTAATCCACTGAGCTTGTATGGTGAATAACTCCTGAAGCTATTTTTCCCCATTAAAACTATTATAATTAATTTCTAACG